GCTCTAAAAGTTGGTATCTTTATTCCCTAAAACACTCCCTTAATATTCTTAGCAGACAATTCTCCACTAACACCCCATTTTTTTACATAACAGAATATGAATTTATGCTGCTTCTATTATAGTGGATCTAAAATAAACCGAATAAATGCTTGTCTTCCTTAACACAGCTCGCGCGGCGCTCATTTTTACAAGTAGTAATCTACAAGGAAACAAATTTTCTTAAATCTAAAGGCTTTTAGCCAAAGAATAAAGATGGCCAACAAAAAAAAAGTCACTTTAAGCCAAGATTTTAATATATACTACAATATTTATTAAAAAAACAAAAATATATACTACAAAGTCCACGGTTTGATTTCGAATACCTCCAACTGGCTGAGATAAAATTATAAACGTTTGACCAAGATAATCAAGAGTTTCCACCATTGGTCATTAAACAGGTGGATGCTGGTAATCAAAAAGAGGTCATTAAGGGATCATCACTGGAGTCTGGACGATCCAGTTATCCAGATTAGAGAAAACAACAAAAGGAGTGGACTTTTGGGTCACACCCGCATTGGAGTCGGAGGGGAAAAGGGTACTCTTTCTTCGGGAAGGGCATACAAAGACTTTACTCAGGGCCCAGAAAAGCCCTTCTCCAATCTTCTTTTGAGTCTCTCAAAAGGATAGGATCAACATTGATATTTGCTGATCCCTGAAGCTAAAAGAGTAAAAAGTATGATTAAATGAGATTGGTTTCATGATTTTATCCAAGGAAATGACACGGTTTCTCTGTAAGCTAATAAAATTAATGTCAGTTTTGACTTATACAATCTTGTTGAGCTGACAAAGCAATAAAAAGTATCAGAATCTTAGTTAACGCACCATCGTGAAATATTGTAACGTGCGGTGGAACCTGGAGCCATACTAAATTGAAGGGTGTTACGGGTTCCATTTAACTCTCTCTCTTTTGACTTTTCAGATTTTGTATTTGTTTATCTAAATTCGATACTTTGGGGTCTACGATTCTCTTTACAAAGCACTGCACAACTCTACTACTTAACGTAGCATCTCAGGATTGAGTTGCACTGCATAGAGTTAACGCTACATTCATTTCTCTCTCTCTCTCACTCAGCCAGGAGACGAACAGTCGAATACCGAGACATGAGAAGCTTTTACAGTTTTTTTCTCCTCTGTTTTTCTATGAATCTTCTACTGTTTTCTACCAGCATCAATGGTTACAGTGATCTTGAAGTTCTGTTGAAGCTCAAGTCTTCCATGATTGGACCCAAAGGTTCAGGTCTCCACGATTGGGGATCCTCTTCATCTCCATCTGCACACTGCCATTTCTCTGGCGTTGAATGCGATGAGGATTTGCGTGTTGTTGCTCTCAATGTGTCCTTTTCTCCTCTCTTTGGCACCATTCCTCCGGAGATAGGGCTCTTGAACAAGCTCGTGAACCTCACAATATCAATGGTCAATCTTACAGGATATATTCCGATGGAGATGGGAAACTTGACTTCTCTCAAGATATTCAACATCTCCAACAATGTTTTCAGAGGCAATTTCCCTGGTGAAATACTTAGGGGTATGGCACAGCTTGAGATTCTTGATGTTTACAACAATAACTTCACGGGTCATCTTCCCGTTGAGGTGGCGAACCTGAAAAATCTAAAGCATCTATGTCTTGGAGGCAACTATTTCATGGGAGAGATACCGGAGAAGTACGGTGACATCCAGAGCTTGGAATACCTGGGTCTAAACGCCAACGGTTTAAAGGGTAAAATCCCTGCAGGTTTAGGTCGTTTAAAGAACCTGAAACTCTTGTATCTTGGATATTACAACACGTACGATGGAGGAATTCCTCCTGAGTTTGGATCATTAAGCCAACTCCAATTACTCGACATGGTAGGCTGCAACCTCACGGGCGAGATTCCTGCGAGTTTGTGCAATTTGAAGCACTTGCACACATTGTTCCTTCAGCGGAACAATCTTACTGGCCGTATACCTCCTCAACTCTCTGGTTTAATCAGCTTGAAATCGCTTGACCTTTGCTCTAACGGGTTAACGGGGGAGATACCCGAGAGCTTCTCTGCCTTGCAAAACATTACACTTATCAACTTGTTCAGAAATAACCTCTACGGTCCAATCCCGTCATTCATTGGTGATTTTCCCCACCTCGAAGTGCTTCAACTCTGGGGAAACAACTTCACTCTTAAATTACCGGAGAATCTTGGCCGTAACGGGAAGCTTTGGATGCTGGACGTTGCTTCGAATCACCTAACTGGGATGATTCCACGGGATTTGTGTAAGGGAGGGAGGCTGAAATTCTTAGTTCTGATGGAGAATTTCTTCTATGGTCCACTCCCAGAAGAACTTGGTAATTGCAAGTCTCTTATCAAAATTAGTGTCAATAACAACGAGCTTAATGGAACAATTCCAGCCGGGATTTTCAACTTGCCCTTGCTGATTATGTTCGAGTCTGACAACAATTACTTCTCCGGAGAACTTCCATCCCAGATGTCGGGTGCTTCGTTAGATCAGTTAAAAGTTTCAAACAATAGGATTACTGGTAGAATCCCTCCAGCGATCGGCAATTTGGGCTCTTTACACATTTTATCTCTTGGAATGAACAGATTTACTGGTGAAATTCCTGAGCAAATCTTTAATATCAACTCACTTTCAAAGATCGACATCAGTCACAACGATATTATTGGTGAAATCCCTACTTCAATCACCCGGTGTGTTTCATTTACTTCAATTGATTTCAGTCAGAATAATCTCACAGGTGAAATTCCAAAAGGAATTAAGAATTTGATGGATTTGGGCATTCTCAATTTGTCTCGAAACCAGCTAACCGGCGAAATCCCTGGTGAAATCCAATACATGAGCAGTCTTACAACTCTTGATATCTCTTTTAATAATTTCAGTGGCAGCATACCCACCGGTGGCCAATTTTTAGCCTTCAACGGCAGCTCATTTATAGGAAACCCCAATCTATGCCTACCGCACCAGGCTACTTGTTCATCTTTGGTGAACCAAGCTGAAAGTTCCAGTCATGGGCATTCCGCATCTTTCACTGCTTCAAAGCTTGTTATCAGCATCCTTACGCTGATCACAGCTTTGCTGATGATGGTCGCCACGGTGTACAGATTGAGGAAGAAGAGACTCGAAAAATCACGAGCATGGAAGCTCACTGCTTTCCAAAAACTAGATTTCAAAGCTGATGATGTGCTGGATTGCTTGCAAGAAGAGAACATTATAGGGAAAGGTGGAGCTGGAATTGTCTATCGCGGTTCCATGCCGGATGGCCTTGAAGTTGCAATTAAAAGATTAGTGGGTCGTGGAACCGGAAGAAGCGACCACGGGTTCTCGGCGGAGATTCAAACCCTGGGTCGGATCAGGCACCGAAACATCGTAAGACTGTTGGGTTTCGTATCGAACAAGGACACGAATCTGTTGTTGTACGAGTACATGCCGAATGGGAGCTTAGGAGAAATGCTGCACGGCTCAAAGGGTGCTCATTTGCGATGGGAGAGGAGGTATAGCATTGCTGAGGAGGCTGCCAGGGGACTGTGTTATGTTCACCATGACTGCTCGCCTCTGATTATACACAGGGATGTGAAGTCGAACAATATTTTACTCGATGAAAATTATGAAGCTCATGTTGCTGATTTCGGGCTGGCTAAGTTCTTGCAAGATGCCGGTGCCTCGGAGTGCATGTCCGCCATTGCTGGTTCATACGGCTACATTGCTCCAGGTTTGAATCCACCCATTTTTGTTTCTCTTAACGTAATCTTCTGAATACTTTGTTTCAGCCCTTTGACTTGATATGAAATATGCGAACAGAGTATGCCTACACGTTGAAGGTTGACGAGAAAAGCGACGTGTACAGTTTTGGTGTTGTGCTGCTGGAGCTTATAGCAGGAAGAAAACCTGTAGGTGAATTTGGAGAAGGGGTGGACATTGTGAGGTGGGTAAGGAAGACAATATCAGAACACCCTCAGCCGTCCGATCCTTCTTCAGTGTTGGCAATCGTGGACCCCAGGTTGAAAGAGTACCCATCGGCGGCTGTCATCCATCTGTTCAAAGTAGCCATGAAGTGTGTTGAAGATCAGAGCTCCGATAGGCCTACCATGAGAGAAGTTGTTCACATGCTCACCAATCCTACACAGTCTACACCAGGCCCATGCCTCCTCTCCTTTTGATGCTCACTGCTCGTCACTCATCAGCTCATGGCCATTGTAGTTAAAAAAAAAAACAATAGGAATCTGTAATAATTTTCTAACCATGCAAGGTTTTGGGTAATCGAAAAATGTCGCACTAACCTTCCATGATGGGGGATAATTGTGTTTGTGTGTTTGTTTTAGTTTTCTTATATTTGTATTCGCACCACTATTGCATATTTTTATATACCATGCACTAGTTTCAGTTTGAGGTTTGACCTGAACTGTTTTAACTTTTAAAATCCTTTATTTAAGCTTCATATATTCATTGTTAACTCATGAGTAATCCTTCACAAGTTTCATTTAAATTTGTTTTTGATTTAGATGGAAAGATATAGTCGATGGTTGTAGTGAAATTTATATATCAATTCTTATGTGTGACAGTGTTAAATTAAAAATCATGATTGTTATTCGTAGGTTGATAAAATGAAAAATATATATGTCAATCAATAAATTTGAATCTTATCCTATCTCGTAAATTTATTAATTGTATTTTTGAAAGATACGATTGAAAGAAAATGCAAATAACTTCAAAAATACACCAAACATGACCTGCAGAGGTGTAACAAAATTCAACCTTAATCCTTCGATATGTTATGATTCATTATATTTATCAAGTTCAAATTTATCTTAAATTCAACCTTACGCCCGTTATAAGAAACTAGTGTACGCCGCCGCCTTCCTTTGGATATAGTTTGGGCCAATGGGCCTTCCTTCAACTATATATGCCCTTTTGATTTCTCAAAAATTCAAATCAATTTTCCGCCATCTTGGTTTAACAGTAGGTGTGCAAGAGGGAAATGCAATGGAGAACAATACTGCCACACCAAGTTCTACACTCATCACCGCCCGTCGAAACCCACACCGTAAGGCCAAGTCTGCGGCCTTATTCAATACATCTCGACTTCCCCCTCAGTGCACTTCGTCCTCTGAATTACCTCAAATTTCTTCGTTTCCAATCCAAGACATTCTCTCAGAAAAAATCCTGCAAAATTCCCCCACCATCACAGCCGCCTCGCCCTCGCCATCACCTCCGCAAGTTTCAGTCCTAGAGAACCTCAAAGTCTTTTTGAGAATCCGTCCTCTTGTGCCTCTTAAAGGCTCAAAAAATAACGCAGGAGATCAACATGCTAGGTCGAGGACGAAAAATGTTTGGCCTCAAAATCCATCCAAAAAGAATAGCGTCAAAGAGAAGAAAAACCCACAGAAGAAAAGCAATGAATGTTGTATTACGGTGAGCCAGGATTTTCGTTCGGTTACTTTGTCACCTCCTTTGCATCTACAAGAAACTAAACGCGTCAGATCGGAGGTTTATGAAGGGTTTTCTTACGTGTTTTCAGATGAGTCGACTCAGGTATGTGTTTTTTCTTGCATAATTATATTATTTTGATATAGTTTCGTTAATACTTTGAATTTTATTCTGATGATTTGACTGGCAACTTTTTGTAGTCTGAAGTATACGAAAAGATGGTGAACCCGTTGGTTGAGGATTTCCTCAACGGTAAAAGTGGAATGTTGGCGGCATTAGGGTCGACAGGCTCCGGCAAAACACATACAATTTTTGGCAGTTCCCGCGAACCTGGTATGGTTCCTCTAACACTCACACGGATTTTCAAGTCCGCTCCAGGGCGTGCCTCCCAGTCCTCAAGGTAATCCAGGATCTCCCAACTTATAAAAAGGATTTCTATATATATTAATTAAACATGTAACATTGAATTATGCTGTTCTTTTATCTGTATAATATCTTTGCAGGCAATTTTACTTATCTATTTTCGAAATATGTGCTGAGCGAGGGAAGGCCGAGAGGATATGCGATTTAACTTCTGATAGACCAGATCTGTCTATGCAGCAATCAATCGTTAAAGGGCTCCAAGAGGTTTTTCTCCCTTTTCCCCTTATATATTTATGGCGGGAAGATAGTTATTATGATGTTTCCTTTATTCATGCAAACAGGTTCTAGTCCATGATGTTTCAGAGGCAGAGTCATTGATAGCTCGTGCTCTTCTGAGACGTTCTACGGCTATGACAAATGCCAACAGCCAGTCAAGGTGAATGGCTAATTATACTGCCATTTTATTACACGGCTGCTACACATTTAAACATATCATACTGCAACTTTACTAATTCGATTACTGATGTCATCATCGCAGCCGTTCCCAGTGCATCATCAACATTCGGGGAGGTACTGAAATGTCTGATCCAGAAAATGATAAACAATCAAATTATGCTGTTTTTTCTATTGTTGACCTTGCCGGAGCAGAAAGAGAGAAACGAACTGGAAATCAGGTATTACTTATTTTCTGATTTAAGATGCTGTTATTACTTAACTATCTTTTCAGGTAAAAATTTCAATGAAAAAACAAACCATGTGTCGAGTGATAAAATGCAAACATGCTGTCAACCATGTGATTACTCGACAAATTGTTTATATACGTAATAGTTGTATATGTAAATGCTTGTAAATACATGTTATAATGCTATTTAAACCTACGATAAGCCTCTTAACTTTTGTTAGCCAATAGCAATGAAACTTTGTGAAATTTCTAATTTAACTAATTGTTTCAGCGAAATTTCAACTTGACTAAATGCACAACTCTTGGATGGGACATTAAGAAAGTTTCGCAGCTATTTAGTTTTAGTTTTGAACAGTTCTTTCAGGAGCTGGCGTAAACATTAATCTGTGTTTTAAATTTTTGAATGCGGTTTAAAAGAAAAAATAGATCATGAACTGTTGGATTGATATTTTGATATTTCAACAATTTTGAGGGAGTTAATTTGGTTTTAATATAAGAAAGGTTAATGCTGCCCCACTTATCCTGGTTAATGTTAGTTTGTCTATTGATGAAAATTTCATGTAAGCATTTTGAAACAAATATCTTATTGCAGGGAGCAAGATTGGCCGAAAGCAATTTTATCAATAATACATCCATGGTTTTTGGTCTGTGCCTAAAAGTAAGTGCTTTTAATGTGTTTACTTGATCTTCAAGGCATTCTGAAGTCTCTTATTGATGAGTATTTCTCAGTTATCTTTAACTTCCCCTTCAGCATTTGTGTGTCTTTTTTTTATTTCGTTTTTCTTTTCTTTACCTCTATTTTCAGTCTTTGCTTGAGCACCAAAAGAATCCCAAGAAAGCACTGCAGAAGCACTTCCAGAATTCCTTGGTAATGCTTTTTTTGATGAATTCATATGTTTATACCATTTGATATAGTCTTCTTGTTCCTTTTTTCTTCCATAGTTGCACTATCTTTTTTTCCATGTTTACTGATGATAGTCCTAACTTTGTTTGAGTTTATTTTCATGCAGCTGACAAGATACCTCCGCGATTATTTGGAAGGCAAAAAGAGAATGACTCTGGTATGAGGCCTTCTTGTTATCCCCCCCCCCCCAATTCTTCTTCTAGATCTTCATTTTCTTGTTTGTTTCATTTGTAGTTTTAGTTCTTAGACAGTTTTTAATTTTGTCTTTATCTTATTTTAATTCTGCCAAACTGTTGGAATTTTAATTGTGTTGCCAGATTTTAACAGTAAAATCTGGAGAAGAAGACTATCTGGATGCATCATACTTATTACGACAAGCTTCACCTTATATGAAAATTAAGTAATTTTCCCTCTTTTCCCACAGTTCACGTTTAAGGTTGAACTATAGACTCTATCAGATGCAGTTACATTTCCTTTTAGGTTTGCTAACATTGAGGCTCAGCCCAATTTGCTCCGCAACAAGAGACAAATTCAAACCTCTAAAGCTGAGCAGTCTAAGAGAATGAAACTTGGTAACTTAGACGCTTCAATGGTAATTTTTCTTTCCCCTTTGAAAGGTTTTTTCTTCCTTCCCAGTTGTATTAGTCTCTTTTTCTCTCCCATTCTACTATCTTGTGATCCAGCAGACAATCAGGGTGCATTAAGCAACTTCCCAGTATCCAATGTGTTCTATGATTAAATATTTGAATATTATAATTTTACATTCCTAACTTTAGTGTGAGAATGCCCAGTTTTTTTATACTTTTCCAAAAGTTGTGAATTATATCCTGGAGCATGATACTCTTTTTTTCTTGAACATTCTAGAGCTTTTACTATTAACTAGATTCAAGTTTATATATGTAAGTATTTTGAGGTATTTTCGCGTTCATTGCATCATATCATGAAACTGTGATTTTGGAGCATTTTACCATCAGCTTCTTGTCTTGAACGCTGAAACTAAACCATTATAAGCATGCTTTATCATTATTAACATAAATTGGTTTTCAGATTGAGAAAAAGATTGTTGGAGATGAAAACCGGCTTCCTGATGAAGGTTATTAATATGTTCCATTAATTTCTACAGTTTTATCAATTTCTTCTTGTATTTCCATTTTTTCCCTTTAGCTACTTTCTCATACCTCCTTTATGAATTTTTAACATGTTTTCTTGTTGCATTACAGGAGATCTGACAAGCTGCGGTGCAGACTTAAAAAGTAGTACACCTCTGAAATCGAATTCTGATGATTTGATGAAGGAGAGAACTCATCAGATTACGCAAAGGTTTGCCAAAGCTTTATGGAATGTTTTGAAGCAACATAATGAAAAACTGAAGGTGAGTTATGGGTGGCTTGATGAGATAATCTTCCACTAAATCTTATGAAGCTTATAATGGATATTTTAGTATTATTTCAATGATAACTTAAATTATAGGCCCTGTCATCATCAGGTTGTTGAGTGTGAAAACCAGATTCTAAGAGAAAATCTTAGAAATGAGAAGAAAAGATCTATTGAGATGGAGAAAGAGCTGAAGAATTTGAGATCCTGCTGTACTTGCTCCAAGGACAACTCAGTGGCATCAACTGATGTAAAAGTAGTTGAGGATTTTGAATTTATTGTGCTTTCCGAGGTACAGAAATTTTGTGGCATTGATGAGGTATGTTTGTAAGTAGGTATTATCTCAAATGTTTTGAAAATTTTATAGAACTGTTTGTACTTGCATCATGATATTGGTTCCTGTACAATAATGCTAAAAGGAAACAATGTGATTTCAACTTTTATCTAATGTATTAGACAAAACTGGATTTGGATTCTTCCACTCACATCAAATCGGAACGTAGTAGCAGTCCCAGAATATATGACTCTACTCCAGGAGAGGATAATGTACTTTCTCTGATACATATCTCCTTTCAGTTCATTTAATATCATTAATAGATTTTCTTCTTAAAATATCTAGCCAATTATGTTTCACGGAGTTAATTTACTTGTACAAGCCTTTTTTAAACATTCAGAATAATAAGAAGTGCTCACCAGAAAAAGGCGACCCTTTTCCAAGGAAAAAGCAGGGCATGTGTTCTGAGGTATAAGGATCAGTAATCCAACTTTGATGTTATTATATTCGCAATCCTTCCATTGCAATAGGTTCCCTATTTAAGGTCATTTTGTCTCTTGTCAAATGACTTGTTTCCAATAGTCTGGTACTCTGGTTCTTGCTTCTTGATAAAATTGATTATATCTTGTCATGTGGGGATTAAATTGTATAATTAGAGTGGTTGTTTTCATATTTCTTGTCATCACATGCCTACTGTAAAAGGTTCTGATTATGTTGTACATAAAGGTATTAAATCAAAATATTCCTTCAAACTTGAGTGGGCCTGAATGCATTGATGGTAAGAAAGAGCATGAAGCCATGGACCATGGTAGGCTGATGCTCCAATTTTTTTCTGGTAGTATCTTTTAGGAGAAACTGCTTTTGGTTGGAAGAAAATTTTCTGTTCAATTTTTTATTTTCCCTTATATTGAATTGTTTCATTGGATGGTCAGTTAAGAAATTTAGAAGCGGATGCTAGATCTCCAAGCATTTGTGTTTCAAGTGATAACAATCAAGGTCGTCAGGTACGAGTATCACCCATTTCATGGATCAGGGTTGTAAGATTTATATATATGCGATGCGTTTTTGGGATGGTTCTGACAGAAATATGGTTTGGTTTCCAAATTAGATACCTGAAAGCTTTCCTGGGACTGAAAATATTCACGAGGATTCAAATGAGTCAACAAATAATGTGGTTGTTGAGCATCTTGATCCTAATTCACAAGAAACAGGTCTGGTTTAGTAGCTCGACTTTTATATTACAAACCACAATCATGAAACATATTACATCTTATAGGCCCCTTGTTACCATTTCTCCTGTATTTGCAAACTAGATAACGACCTATCATATATGTTATGCTGATTTGTTTTGTTTTATTTTTTATTTTTTTAGGGGGGTTGGGGTATTTCCTTCCCCCTTCAATCTGTTATTTCACCCATACGACAAATGTAAGCCTTTCCCGTTTTGCAGTTAGACTTTCGGGCAATGAAAATAGTATATCTGTACAGCCATGTCAACAGCTTGGTGAAAACGATGAGGTTAGTGTCCGTTCCTCATTCTGTACTAATGTCATAATTGGCCATTAGCCTTTTTTTTTCTTTGACAACATTTCTTGCCTTCTCTAGGATTCACTGGATCTGCTGGTATCACATAAGCATATCGATTCAAGTGATAACAATCAAGGTCGACAGGTACAAGTATCACCCATTTCATAGATCAGGGTTGTAAGGTTTATATATATACGATGCATTTTTGGGATGGTTTTGACAGAAATATGGTTTGGTTTCCAAATTAGTTACCTGAAAGCTTTCCTGGGACTGAAAATATTCACGAGGATTCAAATGAGTCAAATAATATGGTTGCTGAGCATCTTGATCCTAATTCACATGAAACAGGTATGGTTTAGTAGCTCGACTTTTATATTACAAACCGCAATCATGAAACATATTACATCTTATAGGCCCCTTGTTACCATTTCTCCTGTGTTTGCAAACTAGATAACGGCCTATCATATATGTTATGCTGATTTGTTTTGTTTTATTTTTTTATTTTTTTAGGGGGGTTGGAGGGGTATTTCCTTCCCCCTTCAATCTGTTGTTTCACCTATACGACAAATGTAAGCCTTTCCCGTTTTGCAGTTAGACTTTCGAGCAATGAGAATAGTACATCTGTACAACCATGCCATCAACTTGGTGAAAACGATGAGGTTAGTGTCCGTTCCGCATTTTGTACTAATGTTATAATTGGCCATTACCTTTTTTTTCTTTGACAACATTTCTTGCCCTCTCTAGGATTCACTGGATCTGCTGGTATCACATAAGCATATCGATTCAAGTGATAACAATCAAGGTCGTCAGGTACGACTATCACTCATTTTATGGATCAGGGTTGTAAGATTTATATATATGTGATGCATTTTTGGGATGGTTCTGACAGAAATATGGTTTGGTTTCCAAATTAGATACCTGAAAGCTTTCCTTGGACTGAAAATATTCATGAGAATTCAAATGAGTCAACAAATAATGTAGTTGCTGAGCATCTTGATCCTAATTCACATGAAACAGGTCTGTTTTAGTAGCTCGACTTTTATATTACAAACCACAATCATGAAACATATTACATCTTATAGGCCCCTTGTTACCATTGTTGCTGTGTTTGCAAAATAGATAACGGCCTATCATATATGTTCTGCTGATTTGTTTTGTTTTATTTTTTTTTATTTTTTTTATTTTTTAGGGGGGTTGGAGGGGTATTTCCTTCCCCCTTCAATCTGTTGTTTCACCTATACGACAAATGTAAGCCTTTCCCATTTTGCAGTTAGACTTTCGGGCAATGAAAATAGTACATCTGTACAGCCATGTCAACAGCTTGGTGAAAACGATGAGGTTAGTGTTCGTTCGGCATTCTGTACTAATGTCATAATTGACCATTAGCCTTTTTTTTTCTTTGACAACATTTCTTGCCCTCTCTAGGATTCACTAGATCTGCTGGTATCACATAAGCATAACGATTCAAGTGATAACAATCAAGGTCGACAGGTACGACTATCACCCATTTCATGGATCGGGGTTGTAAGGTTTATATATATGCTATGTATTTTTGGGATGGTTCTGACAGAAATATGGTTTGGATTCCAAATTAGATACCTGAAAGCTTTCCTGGGACTGAAAATATTCACGAGGATTCAACTGAGTCAAATAATGTGGTTGCTGATCCTAATTCACATGAAACAAGTATGGTTTAGAAACTCAACTTTTATATTACAAACCATAATCATGAAACATATTACATCTTATAGGCCCCTTGTTACCATTTCTCTTGTGTTTGCAGACTTGATAACGGCCTATCATATATGTTTTTTTCTTTTTTTGGGTGGGAGTGGGGGTATTTTCTTCTCCTTAAATCTATTATGTCACCTATACGACAAATTTAAGCCTTTCACATTTTGCAGTTAGACTTCCAGGCAATGAAAGTAGTACATCTTTGCAGGCATGTAAAAAGCTTGGTGAAAATGATGAGGTTAGTGTCATTTCCACATTCTGCATTAATGTCAAAATTGACCATGAGCTTTTCTTTTCCTTTTGACAACATTTCTTGCCCTCTCTAGGACTCATTGGACCTGCCGGTGTCACATAAGCATTTTGAAAAAACTCAACATCAAGACCTTACTGAAGTCCCCGGGAGTGGAGTAAGACCTAATGCCTCCCGCAGCTCTTCAAAGATGGAAAAACCAAAAAGGTAAGTTATGTGGACTTCGGATCACGGTAATTGCCTTGCTTTACAAAATTATTTGCTCATGAACACCCCTTCCCCCCGCCCCCTTTTATTTCTATATATTGCACAAACAGGAGACTTTTGCCTAAATCATCCATTCTAGTCAGAGAAATCAGCACCTATGATGCTGATGAGATTGACAAACCAAAGGTTAGTTGATAATCCTCATGATCTATTGTTTTGAAGTTTTATTCGTAAATGCACATCACAGGGAATATGAAGCTTAACATTGTTGCTTGTAAAGAAAATAAACCATTATTATTCATTCCAATGAACAAACATATCTCCTTGAATCTTTCTGCAGGGAAACGGAGGTGGGAAGAACTTGGCTGCTTCTGAGAGGCAAAGAACTCAGGGCAGCATTTCTCTCCTAAGCTTACTTAAGAATAATCTTCATCTCTAGTTTAGCACCTTTTATTTCTTCACGTAAAGCTTGCTCTTTTTGTATAGATGTGGCCGTTTGAGTTCTTTTTTTAAAATTTCCCTCCTAAAAATAGAACTATTTCATCATTACAATACTCTTATTTCAATGATTTTGGAGTTATGAGTATATCATAAGCAAAACGTTAAATTACATTAATAGTTATTGAACTTTTAGAATGTTTGCACTTTGATCACGAAATTGAAAAACTTTTATTCTGATTATTACTGTTAAAGAATATTTTTATTTCAATTATTTTAGCGTTAAAAAATGTACTTGGAGTGGTTCAAAACATTTTATTTGGCAATGTTTTGATCACTAAAGGTAAAGGTAAACAAATCTTAACTCCAGTTGAGCGCTTTTCCAAAGACTGCATCACAGACCAAAAGAGAAGCAAGGAGGGTTTGTCTGGTTATTGAGTCTTAGCGTCTCGCTGGGACAGTTGGACCATTTACAATGATATCGATTAATTTTAAATCAGAAAGAACCCGCGTTACTTTTCGAGACAATTGGCCCACTCGCTTCTCTCCTGGCGCTGCGAGATTGGGTTTCGAAATTGATGAATAAGTTAAGAAAGTGGCGCTTTTCATCTTGATCCGGTGGTTTTGCTTCTTGTGCAAACAAACTCTAAATAGTCCTCCAAAAGCAGGTAAGCACCTGTTACAACCAAACCAACAAGAAAAGAAACTGTTGACAGAAAGCAAAATAGCCCCCAATTTCCCAGTCGGGGAAAAACTAGACAACCCATCAAGGATGCATAACAAGAGAGTGCTTTGGAAAGTGGCGGGAGAAGTTCATGAGTTTATACTGAAGTGCTCCATTTTGTTTGCATCTCAAGAGAGTAGTCTCAAGTTCCAGAACTCCACTAGAGAATCAAAGTCCCATCAATACAAGTTTGAACGAGGGAAAAAGTTCTTGAGGCCATTGCCAAAATGATGATGCTCTTTGCTTTTGCGTCCCCGCATAGACCAGTAGCTAAAATGATGATGTTGTTAGAATATAGGTGCAGCACAGGACCTTGTAGGATAACTTACATGTTTAATGGGATGGAAAGGCAGTAACTTTTGAGGTTTAGAATATTCTTCAAACTCTCCACCGTAAATTTGAGGAAGATGAAGCAACCAAAAATTGCTGCCTCTTACCAAAATAATGAAGGTATTGTTCCAGGCAACAGAATCTCCTAAGGACTCACTATTTTTGTCTTAATTAAAGCAGTCAGGGGGTGAAAAAAATGGTTTTCACAATAATTGCCACTTTGCTGGGCATAATCAAAGCTGGGATAAGCTTTAAGTGTATCAGGTTCCTAGACGTCCCTATTCGTTTCGAAAATTTAAAATTTTCATCTTATCTTAATTCATTCTAACATTTGATAATATTTCATCCATTTTAAATTTTAAAGTAAAATTTAATCTTAATTCAATTTGACATAATTTTTTTATTCGATAATATAGTGAGATAATTATAGCTATATATACATATAAAAATATAATAGTAATTATTTTTAAATATATATATTTAAATAAGCATTATAGTAATTATTATTATAAAATCAAGTCGAAAGTTTTTTTTATCTTAACTCTAATTTATCCTGATCCCGAGACTCATATTCACAAAATCTACCTCGAATTTGAATTTTTTTAAATTATCTTTATACAATCGATTAAAATAAAAAAAATTTAAATTTCAATATTTTAATTATCTCAATATCAAGTATGCAATTTTTAATTTAATTAGAAAAGTTTGAAAATAAAATTAATTGACCTTTGGAGGATTAAAGCTAACAATTTGTTCGACTTAAAAAAACCCACAAATTAACAGTGACATAACAATAAATTGAGGTTGGAAAATATATTTTTAGAGTAGTTGATGATATAAAATCGATAATCAGTTTAATCCAATATAATTTTTTGAATAGTAGAGGGTGATTACAAGGTAGTATCTGGTTATAATTTTTCTCAATAATTGATAACACGCACTCACAAACGCAACTGCTTGAACCTAAGACATGTAAGAAGAACAATACTCCCTTTAACCATTAAGGTCATTTGATAGGTTCGATTATTTTATGATAAAATACACAAATAGTCCCCCAACTATAAGGACATTGTTTTGTTGAATCCCCTAATTATCATATGTTTCAAACTCTTCATTGTCCATTAAAAAATTGACATTTATCTGAGTTGAACGTTAATTTGCTTATTAGGATATGATAAAATCATATTTTAACGATGTATATTGGCACCGATGTTGCTTTCAAGCACTGACTCGATGACATAATGTAAATAGATATTTGATTCACAAAATACAACTTAAACAGTTATGAGATCAATTTTTTTTACCATATTCTAGTGAGCAAGTTAATACCCAGCTCAGACAACTGTCAAATTTTTAACTAAAAATGATGATTTTGGAATATATGAAAAATTGAGTGACTATTTTGTAACTTTTAATAATTAGTAGACTAAATAAAATAATATCTTATAGTTGATGGACCATTTTATAACTTTTAATTAGTCCTCAAACATTTTCAACATTTCAATTTCATCCCAAATTATATGTATGAACTAATCACATTCGATTTTAATAAAACCGTTAGGCCAAGCTATATTATTATATGTTTGAAAAAAATAACTTTAGTTTAAAGTAGGGATGGCAATGGGCCGGGTTGGATCGGGTCGGGTTTTTGGGCCACCCGACCTGACCCGAGAAGAAAGGGTCCTCCACCCGTGACCCGACACGACGAAATTAAGGTTTCACTCGATCCGACCCGAATATAAGACTTACAATCCCGACCCGACCCGAAATAATAATAAAAAATTTATTCAATAAAAACAATGACTTAATTGAAAAAAAAATATATATAGAGGGATATTATTATAATTATCCCTAAATATATAGGGTAAAATTATATATATTTTTCGGGTCGGGTCGGAATTTTTTCACCCTAAACCCGAACCCGACCTCACCCCTCTCCAATCCGAATTTTTTTAAAAAAAAATCCAGCCCGATCGGGTCGGAACCCGTCGGGTTCGGGTTGAGTTGCCATCCCTAGTTTAAAGTATAGTTACCTGTTGAATTTGGGGATAAAATTGAAAGATTTAAAAGTTTGAGGGCTAATTTATAATTAAAATCATAATTTAAGGATGAAATTAAAATATTCGAAAGTTTAGAAATGAATTAGACTAAAGCAAGGAATTCCATCACAGGATGAGCGAAGCAGTGGATCAAAAGAAAAAATAATTTGTGGGCCTAGGTTTTGAAATGAAGGTGACAAGTGACAACTGACAACAACAAACGATAAGCAGCAGCTGCTACTGTCTCGTTGTCAAGGGGTGGGTAGGGGCTTCACGCTTTGGACCATGCCAACTCCACTCCTTCCTCTAAACCCAAATTCCTCATAAAATAAATAAATAAATAAATAAAGCCCCACCATGGACTCGAATTGACTGTTTCTCGGGCGAAACTCTTCCGCTGATACACCCGGGTTTTTTTTTTGCTTGTTTTTTTTTCCCACCAATCCATCCGACCAGGACATCGTTTCGCACACACTGCACTGCACGTGCCGTTTCTCTTAAAGCGAAACAAAACCGAATTCCACCACAAAATTGGCAGTGTCAAAATCAAAATTAGCCTAAACCAAAAATTGAGAAACAAAATTATTTGGAGGAATAAACGTCGTTCTTTCTCTCTCTGTCTCAGCCTGGTTCGGGAAAGGCTTTTCACAGGCCACAAAGCGAGGGTTTTCTTTCAAAGAGAGCGAGATAAACAAAACCCTCCAAAACGGGAAAAACACTGTTTCCACGGGGAGGGAAAAGCTCAAAACGAAAGAGTCGAAAACTTGAGAGCGGTTTTGTTATTTTTGATTTCGAGTGACAAAAAAGGTGCGGTGTCGTCTCTTTATTGGAGCTCAGTTTCAGAGCTAGGGTTTCGTTTTTCGTTGTCTCCTTTGAAGGGTTTAGATGAAGGTAACGCTTGTAATTGGTTCGATATGTTGCTTCTTCTTTTTTTTAAAAAAAAGGAAGATTGGGCTTTTATCAATTTTATTTGCACATTGAGGATTGGTGTTATTAGAGTCAGCTGTATCTCTGCATTAGGTAATATAATCTTAATTAAATTCACATCACTCTTCAAGGTGTATAGCTGTGAAGCTAGGTTTTTTTTAATGCTGATTCTTCCGAGCTTTGGTTTTTAGGGTTAGATCTTCACCGTCTACTATGTTAATTGATATTCGTTTTAGAGGAATTGGAAGGTACTATTTAATTGTTTCATCGGGTTTTCAGTTGGTTTAAGAGTAAGGTTTTGTCTGTTATTTTGTTTTGGGGTTAATTCTATTTTAGAACTGAAATTCAATTTATCTCAGAACCGAACAAGTTTCTGTTAGATTGATTATTTCAAAAGCTTGAGGTTTTAGTTAATTCTTTTATTTCAGGTATTGGGGAGTGTCATCATTTATCTTTGTCTAATCTTTTGTTGACAATTAATATGATTTTACATGATCAGCTTTCTTGGAAGGTATAATACGGCTGTTTTAGCTCATTTTTCCTCTTTAATTTGATGATGAATTGATAATGTCAATGCTTCTTTCCCTTTTATTTCAATACCAATTAATTGATCAACCATTTATGTAATGCAATTTTATAGAGGTTTATTAGGGATGATGAGCTACGGGATTAACCGTTATGTCATGCCATTTACAGGTTTCTTTTTAGATTTCACCTTGAAGCTTTGCCTCTTGTTCTAAATGGAACAAAAGATGTCAGTATATTACAAAGTTCTCTTTGTTTAGTGATTTTGCATCTGAAGCACCATGACGCTGGAAGATTTTTTTACACTGACTGAGATGAAAGATGGACTCACAGTTCCTTCACGAATTGAGGAGCTAATAACTGTAATGAAGAAGGATAAAGAATCTGTTGTTAAAAATGTCAGTGATGTGACCAGGCAATGGACTGCTGTTGCGAGCACAATTGTGGCCACCGAGAATAAAGATTGTCTTGATCTTTTTATTCAACTAGACGGACTTTTGTTTCTTGACAGATGGCTGAAGGATGCTCAGGAATTTGGTAATGACTCAAGTGATAGTGTTGTGGAAGAATCAATTGCTGCACTCTTACGAGCACTTGAAAAGTTGCATAGAAATAGGGAGGTGTCTATTTCTTCTGAAATCTGGACTACAGTCGAGAGTCTTCTTGGCCACAATAGCTCTCGAGTTCAGGATAGTGCTAAGTTGCTCTTTGATAGCTGGAAACAAGGTAAAGTTACTGGTCACGTTGATAGTGGTGGGCATGATTATGAGATTTCAGAGACTGCTATGGTTGCTGGAGAAAATAATGGGCCACAATGTTCTGCCAAAGATATTCCTGTTTCAAGAGGAAGTTCCCATGAGGAAAATGATGGAGCAGATGCTGCAAAAAGTGAAAACATTTCTTCAAGTCTAGATGGTGTTCAACCAGAAAGCACTAAAGATTTACCCATTGACTCTACTAATGATAAGCTCCAGCCCCACATAAATTCAGACCATTCAGAAACAGAAAACAGATCTCCATGTGATGTGGCCTCCCCTTCTGTGTCAAATCCGGTTCAAGAGAATTTTCCCAAGAAGGAAGAACTCCCTGCAAAAGCTGTGGAAGAAACTGCTTCCCATGAAACCTGCAGTTTACCAGATTCAAAGCAAGAAAATATTGAAGTTTCAGATTCTCAGAAGTTGTCATCAAGTGATGAAAAGTTGTTTGATGTGACAGTTTCGAACTCTAGGACTGTGGATCATTCTGGTGTTGGAAGTGCTCTGGAGGTTACAATAGAACCCAATTCCCAAAATGATTCTGAAGCCAATATGGGTCATGCCCTAAAATCTGTTGATCTTATTGATGAGAAGACACAAGGATCCGAGCCGAAGAAATCAGTGGGTGATTTGGCAGCAATGAATCATTCCAGCAATAGTTCACAGCTATTCAAGATTGCAGGCAAAGACATTGAGTCTCATTTGAGCATGTTGCGGAGCTCTTCTGAGTATGAGCTCGTGTATAAAAAGCCTGGGAATCTGGAGACTAGGTTTTCCAGGAAGTCAGAAATTGGAACAGCAGATAAAGATAAGGAGAATTGTGGACTTAAGGATTTTAGGGGTGGTTCTAGGTTTACCGGTAGTCCTGTTGGGATGCATACGACAACATCTGACATTGAGCTTGAGTATGGTATAGTTGATGCTCTAGAAGTTGCCCGAATAGTTGCTCAAGAAGTGGAACGAGAAGTTGTAGACGACAGAGAGCATTCCAGCTGCTCTTCAGAGAAGATTTCAGAAGGTGGTATTAGACAACCTGATTCCCTAGGATCAATAAATGGAAAGCAAAATCTACCCAGCGAGGTATTGCCAAAGGAGGTGTCAAGTGGACCCACTCAGTCTGCTGGAGCGCAAACTGAGGATGAGGGGCTTATAAATTCAGATGATGCAAACAATGAACCAAAAAATGAGTTTCATGACATGGAGTCCTCTCAGGTGACTGTCGCTCAAGATCCTGAGCCCAACACAGAGAAAAGTCTATGTGATTTTGATCTGAACCAAGAAGTCTGTTCTGATGAAATGGAATGTGCAGCAACTTCCATCTCCACCCCCGTTTCAGTGGTTTCTGCTTCTAGGGCGGCTGCAGTGCGTAGTTTACCTGCCGCTCCTCTACACTTTGAGGGGACTCTTGGATGGAAAGGATCTGCTGCCACAAGTGCTTTTCGTCCAGCATCAACTCGCCGAAACTCTGATGGATATAAGACTCTATCCCTTGGTGGAACAAGCAATAGCTCAAAACAGAGGCTGGATTGCCTTGATTTAGATCTTAATGTTGCTGAGGCTGTTGAAGAACATGGTGCTGGGCTAATGTCCGGGAAACAGGTTACAGCCTCATCAGGCCTCCATTCTGAATCTTCAAAAGAAAATCAAAGAAAATCAGAGAGATTTGAGCTGGATTTAAATTGTATCAGTGATGATGGTGATGCTCCTGCTTTATATTCAAGAGTAGAGGAACAACTTTTTTATGACAGGAATGGCCATCGTAGCCAATCACCTGTTTCTTCATCATCACCAAGGCAGTCTTATCTGAGGAATTTCGACTTGAATGACAGACCATATACTCACAATAATGCTTTAGAACAAGGGCCATATCCTGGTAGATCTTCTCAAAATGCTATTGCCCATGGTGGGCTTAAACCAAATGATCCTGTCATTTCTATAATGGGTACTAGAGTGGAAGTTAATAGGAAGGACTTTGTTTCTAAGTTTGTATCGTTTCCAAATGGCAAGGCTTTCGAGCATGCTACTGATGGAAGCATCAAAAGAACTGCAGGGTTTATGGGGTTGGTTCCCACTGCCTCATATACACATTCTCCTGCTTTTGGTTCTAATGGACTGCCTTTAGCACCAAAGATGCCCTTCTCCTCTGCTATTTATGGGGCTAGTGGTTCAATCCCATGTATTGTCGATTCAGGTGCACCTGTTGTGCCTCAACTTATGGGCTCTGCATCAGCTGTTCCAATAGCTTACTCTCAAGCACAGTTCATGATGGGCATGAGCAACGCAGGTGCTGGTTTAAATGGTTCAGTGCCCTCACGGCCTAATTTCGATCTGAATTTTGGATTAGCAATTGAGGGAGGAAATACGGAGCCCATGGGTTTAAGGCAGCCTTTCATGCCTGCTCAAGGTAGGTCAATAGAAGAACATTTGAGGGCAAACACACAAGCCTCCTCTAGTTCTGGGGTTGCTATAAAAAGGAAGGAACCGGACGGTGGATGGGATCCACACACATTTAACTACAGACAGCAGCAATTCCCATGGAAACAGTAAGTTCATATTTATGTTTGTTCTTCGTAGGGGTCATTTCACAAGTCCAAGTTAATTGATGCTTGCATTGCCAAAGATACCTGGAAAATCATAGCCCATTGACTTTCATAGGAGGGGAGTCGAACTGAATAAAACGGGGAAGTTTATGAATGTAATATGATCCATGAGATTGAATTGCCAAAGGGGGAGAGAGTGGGGGGGGGATTAGGTTTTAATTGTTTTTGTTTTGCCTTATTTTCTTATTTTCATTTTCTACGTTCCATAGAAGGCCATTGAAACCGCAGAAGGCTTGGTACATGTAGGTGTAACTTATTTTCCTTCTATGTCACAGAAAGATAAAAGAAACTGTGCTTTTCTTACCATTTCTCTTCTTTTGGGCAAAGAACAATTTTGGTTACTGATTTCAGTTACTGACAGCTATAAATTAATGAATTATTTTTCACATCGTCATTCTTGCCCGTTTGTGGATAGCTCTGCCTTTATATTAAATCCCCGATCAGTGAAAACTCTTGGAACAAGAGACAAAGAAGCAAGCTTTTCATAATATTTTACAGAAACTACAGAATGAACTGTGAAAGGAAACAATTATAGAAAAGTAATCAAACCTACATTATCCAAGTTCCATTGACAAGGGACGAGATTAGAATATTAGTTTAAAAAGGAAAAGTATAATTAATAATAAAAAAGACAATCAAAATATACTAAAATTAGGAAGTTTAAGTAAATATATTTTCATATATAATTTCCAAAAATAAAAAAGAAGGGGCAGTACCGCAGTGATCCCCGCTTCATCCATTCCATTGACCATTACCAACATTTTCAGTTGCTTTCCTCTATTTTTCCTTTTGCCCTTTTGTTGAATTATGTTTTAATATAATAAATTTAAAGGCAAAATGTTTTTGGACTTGAATTGAATTTATATAAGGTTTTAAAAAGGTTTCAAAAATAATTCAAAGTCCATTAAATTCGGATTTGAGCAAAAATGCTAAAGGGTGTCAAAGTGCATCCATGCACTCCATTTCGAATGCAATTAGTGCATCGATGCACCCTGCTGTGTATCCATGCACCAAGGCTGCAACGGCTAGTAACGACTAGTTTATTTGAATTTAATGAAGGGGTATCGATGCACCTTGATAGTGCACCGATGCACCATGTTATGGGCAACCTTTTTGAGTAGAAAAATCATCCCCAAACGGCTCCAAAACATCCCAACGGTTATATACGACATCAAACACATTCCAAGCTATAAATACAAGCTAAGGACACTTGAAGAAGTAAGAGAACAACTATCCAAGCAATCAAACACAAGAGAAGAGATTTTTATTCTTATTTTCCTTTCTCTTGTAAATATTTGTTCTTGTGAGATTAATTCTTGTAAACACCTACCTTAGAGAGATTTTCTTGTTTACATTTTTAGGGAGTTGTAAGGTTATCTCTTTGTCCTCAAAAGAAAGAACAAATTAGTGAATTTGTTGGAAAATCCTTGGTGAGGAGCTAAGGTAGTGGACGTAGACTTTGGTTGAGAAAGTCGAACCACTATAAATCGATGTGCAATTCTCTATCTTTCAATCTCCTTACTCCCTAAACACAAAACCGTTCTGACCCATCTTTTGTCGATTCAAGCTTACGAAAATCCCAACAATTGACATCAGAGCCTAACTCGTTAGAAGGTTTAACCACCTTGAGACGATCCTAGAAGAAGCTCTACTAATTCCCAACACAACCGAGAAGATGACTTCCACCTCCGGCTTGTTCCACATGGAATACTCCCTACCAAACGACAAACCTCCAAACTTCAATAGAGCCAACTATCATCATTGGAAGAAATTAATGAAGGTATTCATTCAATCCAATGATCTTGATGCATGAGAGATAATCGAGAACGGCTACTCTTCTCCAAAGAAGAAGGAGAAGTGGAGTGACAAAGAACGGAAGAAAGCTCAACTTAATGCCAAGGCAATGCACATGATATTGTGTGCATTTGGTCCTGAAATCTATGAAGGAGTTTCTTCGTGTTCAAGTGCAAGAAGCTTTGGAATAAGCTTGAGGAAATCCATGGAAACAAGAAAGAAGAACCAACAAAGGTGGTGTCTCTAATGGCTCGTGAAGAGTCCGAGGTATTTTCTAACTCAAATGAATTTAATTCATATACGTTTGATGAGTTACAAGATGCTTTTAATAGGTTATATTAAGAGTTTGAGACTATGAACTCCAAATATAAGAAAATGATTTCAAAATTTAAAATCGAAAACGATTTTCTTTTGAAAACAAAAATAGATTTTGAAAGTCAAAATGAAATTTTGAAAAAGGATTTAGAGCTTTCAAAAATAAAAATTGAAAGTTTTGAAAAAGAAAATTTTGATTTAAAAGTTAAGCTTGAATGCTTAACAAAAGAAAAAGAAATCATTTTAAATAATTCATTTAGTTTAATAATGACAATATGCTCACATTGTCATTATCATGGTCATAAGGAACATACTTGTCATTTGAACAAAAGAAAACGTTTTAAAATTAGACAAATATATATTCCGAAAGGAACAAGGGGCGTTGAAACTAACGTTCAAGGATCCAAAGAAATTTGGATACTAAAATCGAAATAAATATCTCTTGTAGGTGTGTGGGAGCAATGATGATGAAAATGATGATATTCAAGATGCTCTAGTCACACTTAAAAAAGGAATGGGTAACCTCTAAGCTTAATGCTTTTAATTTTGGTTATTTGGTTGCTCATTTGATTTTAAGCATGCATGAGTTTTGGTTTTAAATTATTATGCATCATTGTTTTAATCTCATGTATGTTGAAAAGATGATTATGATTAACATTTTAAAGTAATATTAATTTTTAAGAATTTTTGGTTCATCATAATAAAATTTTGGTCAAAATTAGTTTTAATGCAAATGATATATCTCTAACAATTGATATCAAATTTTCAAATACTTTGATTTTACAAATTTTAAATTTTTGACCTAAACTTGAATGTTTATGCATGTGGTTTAAATGAAAAGTGATATCTCTCTAACAATTGATATCAAAAGTTTTGAAATGCATAACATTTTTGGAAAACTTTATGCATGTGATCTTAAATTCGATAATTGGTATTGCATAAAGTATTTTAGACTTGGATACATTGAATTTCATGTGCTACTAACATGTTTTTTACTCTTTGTTGAAATTCAATTTTGTTTAAGTGTCAAATTCTTAAAGCTAAATTTTGTTGAAATACATTTATTAAGGAGAGCTTTGATTTTTCAAATGATTTTTAATGTTAAATTTAACATTTACTCTCCAAAGTTATTTTGAACTTCAAATATTGAATTATTTTTTATATAACAAAAAGGGGAAGAAGTTTGGTTTGAAAAATTCAATTTCTTAATGAAAAAAAGGAGCTTAACATTTTCATATATTTTCAAACAATTGGTAACAATTGATATCATTTTGTTAACAATTGATATCTTTTTCATTAAACATTTTATTAAGGGGGAGTTTTGCCAAAAACATTTTTTCAAATGTTTTGTTATATTAAAAAGGGGGAGATTGTTGAATTATGTTTTAATATAACAAATTTAAAGGCAAAATGTTTTTGGACTTGAATTAAATTTATTCAATGATTTAAAAAGGTTTCAAAAATAATTCAAAGTCCATTAAATTCGGATTTGAGCAAAAATGCTAAAGGGTGTCAAAGTACATCCATGCACCCCTGCAGTGCATCCATGCATCTACCACTAGTGCATCGATGCACCATGTAGTGCATTCATGCACTCCATTTCGAATGCAATTAGTGCATCGATGCACCCTGCTGTGTATCGATGCACTAAAGCTGCAACAACTAGTTTATTTGAATTTAATGAAGTGGTATCGATGCACCTTGATAGTGCACCGATGCACCATGTTATGGGCAACCTTTTTGAGTAGAAAAATCATCCCCAAACGGCTCCAAAACATCTCCAACGATTATATACGAGATCAAACATATTCCAAGTTATAAATACAAGCTAAGGACATTTGAAGAAGTAAAAGAACAACTATCCAAACAATCAAACACAAGAGAAGAATTTTTTATTCTTATTTTTCTTTCTCTTGTAAATATTTATTCTTGTGAGATTAATTCTTGTAAACACCTATCTACGCTTGAAATTGAAAAACAGAATTGAGATTTTAGTAGAAAACAGTATTCTAGCGTGCAAAGAAAAATAATAAAATCAAGACAGAGACAAACATTTCCATTAAGAAAGGCAAATGATTGTACCAAGCAAACATCTTCATTACAGATATTCAAAAATAGTAGGTCTAGAATCTACTTGGAAAATTGCTAGTGCAAAGAGGGAAAATTGGCAGTGACCGGTTTAGAGGTGTCTGAATAACCAGATATTTAGAGCTAAGTGTAGGTCTCTTTGAAACAGATCCACCATCCTCTTTTCTCAATATTTGAAGAAAAAGTTGAGACCGTATTTTTGGAAGTTCTACATTAGAACACTCTTAATATATGGGTAAGAAAAGATATTATCGATTTTGTTATTTTTTAAATAATAAAATCGGTAAAAAAATTACTTAAAACATTAATATTTTTTAACAAATCAGGTAAAGTGTCCAAAAATAACAAAATCGGTAGAAAAAATAACTAAAACGTCCAATAATAACAAAACTGATAGAAATAATAATGTTTCTAATAATTTTTTATTAATTTTATTATTTAAAAAATAATAAAATCATAAACATATTTTTTTACTCATATATTAAAAATATCACACGTAAGAATTTCCCACGTTATTTTGGAGATAAAGAGACATACCCTTCTCCACTAAAGTAGCCACCGGTGCAGGTAAAGAGGCAAATCACTTATTTTATTTTTGATTACTTTTGTTAATATATGTTTAAAAATAAATTTCGATCATTTTCTCTATAAAAAAAACTTTTTCAAACTTTTATCATAAATTTTAAATAAGATACATGATATTAAAATAAAAATATTTATACCAATTTAATTTATACGTATTATATATAAAATAATTTTGTATATTTTAAGTCAAAGCTAAAAACATTTTTCATAATATTTTAATTAAAAAAACATATCAAATTAACAGTTAATGTTTGAAGTCATTTTTATGGAAAAGTGGAACCCATAACTAACTAAAAGACGGTCGTTGGTTTTAAAATATTTCCAGCCAATCTCGCTCATAGAACAATCTAGAAAATTTTGTTCATCCACGTCAAGCCGGGGACAAATACCCAATTGTATTCTGCCACGTTTCTTGAAGCAAAACCGTTGGATTATCTATCAATAGGCGAGAACTTGAAGTCGTCTCATGTGGGGCCGGCGATAACACAGAGTTCTCCACGTCGAAAAACAAATCAAAACCAATAATGTTATTACACGTGTTACGGGATAAATCGCCAACCGTTAGATCACCCACGCTGGCTCTGATAACCAATCGGGAGACAATCCTTAAGGTACAATGCACGCTAGATCTAAAGCTTCAATATTTAAAACTTCGCTAAACCGGCTCAACATCTCAAACGAATAGATAAACAATCTATTTACTGATAAATTCCACTAAAAGACCAGTATTGAAGCAAACAATGAGGAAGTGGGCGGTCCCTTCCGCTTTGATTCTTCTTTGCCTTCTGAGTCTCCTTTCAGATCAAGGTCCGTCGACTCCAAATTTACTTTCATTTTTCTGTTTTTTATTTTTATTTTTATTTTTTAGTGTTTGGTGTCTGAATCTGGATTTACTGTTTTGTTCCAGGTAGAAAAGTACATGCAAATGCTGAAGGAGCCGTAGATCCTCCAAAAGTTGAGGAAAAGATTGGCGCTGTGCCTAACGGTTTACAAACTGATTCTTATGTCGTTAAAAGGTTTGCATAATTTTGTTTATGAAAAAGGTTTTTCTTAATTTTTTTTACCTTTATTTGTGATATTTTGAATCCGAACATGTAATTTATTTATTTATTTATTGCTTTTGTTGTCAGGGAATCCGAGTCGATCTCTTCTAGATCGCTTCGCAATAATGCGGAGAAATTTGAATTCCAAGCTGAGGTGTCTCGGCTTATGGACATTATTATCAATTCTCTTTATAGCAACAAGGATATTTTCCTCCGGGAGTTGATCTCAAATGCTTCTGATGTAAGCTTTCATCTTTTCTTTTGTGATTGTTTTTGTTGTTTTTTTTCAGCTCAATGTTTGAATGTGAACTTCTTTTCAATTTTAGGCGTTGGACAAGATTAGGTTCCTTTCACTCACAGACAAAGAAGTTTTGGGTGAAGGTGACACTTCCAAGCTGGAGATACAGGTTAGTGCTACTTTAGAACTTTATTTTATGAAAATATAAATGCAGAAACTCTGGTGGCCGTTATCTAGAAATGTTGCAAAACGGGCTTGTGCATGCACATGTAGAATTTCTGTATCAGTAGTTCGAAGCCTTATAAGCCTGATGAAATTGCAGATTAAGTTGGACAAAGAGAAGAAAATACTTTCACTTCGTGACAGAGGTATAGGAATGACAAAAGAAGATTTAATCAAGAACTTGGGAACAATTGCAAAATCTGGAACTTCTGGTACATAAATGTTAGATGTATTTTCTTCAAATGTTGTTAAATTATAATCAAGGTTAATTTTTTTAAACTAATTGTTTCTCTTTTCTTTATGCAGCATTTGTTGAGAAAATGCAGGGCAGTGGAGACCTTAATCTGATTGGGCAGTTTGGGGTTGGTTTCTACTCTGTCTATTTGGTAGCTGACTATGTTGAAGTTGTTAGTAAACACAATGAAGACAAACAGTAAGTATTCTAGCTTAATGTAGTTATAGAAGTGTTTGAATCATTGTTACCTAGTGGTTCAATGATTTTTTTTTAGGTATGTGTGGGAATCGAAGGCTGATGGGGCATTTTCCATTTCTGAGGATACTTGGAATGAACCATTGGGACGTGGAACTGAGATTAGATTGCATCTTAGGGACGAAGCTCAGGAGTACTTGGAGGAGGGCAAATTGAAGGTTAGTGTAGGTTAAAGTTTTGTCTGTTTACATTACCTTTATTTTAGCCATGTGATTTTCTGTGGATTTTATGTGACCCATCATGTCGTCAGTTGTATAGTTATCATTCATAAATGAATTTGTTGTTTGATGTATTGATTTATGCTTGATCTTTTGAAAATATGCTAAGAATACATGCTGTGGTTTTATATGCAGGAGTTGGTGAAGAGATATTCTGAATTCATAAACTTCCCCATCTATATCTGGGCAAGCAAAGAGGTTGATGTTGAGGTACCTGCCGATGGAGATTCAAGCGATGAGGAGGACAACGGTATGTACCACTGGAAACTAGAATGTTAATATTTATGCAAGACTTTCTGATGCTATCTCTTCTCATTAGAGTGTGTGTGTTCTAATAGTCGTCCTTTGTATTTTGTTCTCTTATATTGCTCCAAACAGCTGAAACCAGCTCTTCCGAGGAAGGAGAAGATGAAGATGATGAAAAAAGTGAGGATGATGATGCCGAAAAGAAACCGAAGACAAAGAAGGTGAAGGAAACTACTTATGAATGGGAGCTTCTGAATGATGTCAAGGCTATATGGTTGCGCAGTTCAAAGGAGGTGACAGATGAAGAATACACAAAGTTCTATCAATCTTTAGCAAAGGTAATTTTTCATATTTCCTAGCTTCAGAATTCTTAAAATACTATGGGGAGGTTTCTAACTTCATTTCTTGTGAATGTAAACTTTCATGCTCTGCAGGACTTCAGTGATGAGAAGCCCATGGCCTGGAGTCACTTCACTGCCGAAGGTGATGTTGAGTTCAAGGCTGTTTTGTTTGTGCCTCCTAAAGCTCCTCATGATCTCTATGACAGTTACTACAACACCAATAAAGCCAACTTGAAGTTGTATGTTAGGCGAGTTTTTATCTCTGAGGAATTTGATGAGCTTTTGCCGAAGTATTTGAGCTTTTTGAAGGTAATTGAAGATATACAAAGTTTTATGGTTCACTGGAATTTGCAGTAGTGAGGTCTCTGAGTAGTTTCTTGTAACCTGATGTTTTATTTTCCCCTCTCTTTATGGATAACCTATTGAGCAGGGCCTTGTTGATTCTGATACACTACCGCTCAATGTATCAAGAGAGATGTTACAAGCCCACAGCAGTTTGAAAACAATCAAGAAGAAACTCATTAGGAAAGCCCTTGATATGATTCGTAAAATTGCTGAGGAGGATCCTGATGAGTCCAGTGGCAAAGATGATAAAGGCATGTTATTATTTCTTCTTTCAGTAAATACTTTGAAATTAATTTACCAACAGTTCAGCCTGGACTGTGGCCTGTGATTGCCTTTAAAAATGGCATTCTTTCATCTCGAGTTATTTCTGTGTTGCTGATTGTACATAATTTTGGAATGCAGAAGCAGAAAAATCTGGTGATGATGATGAGAAAAAGGGCCAATATACCAAATTTTGGAATGAATTTGGAAAATCCATTAAACTTGGTATCATTGAGGATGCAACCAACAGAAACCGCTTGGCAAAACTCCTACGATTTGAGAGGTGTCTGACCTTATACATGTTTCCTTCCTTTCTTATTTTAGTTTTATGGCAGTCTCTAGTTTCTTTGGAGATAACTTTCCCTTTATTACCTGTCATGACTAAATATTGTATAAATTGCTATGCAGCACCAAATCAGATAGTAAATTGACTTCACTAGATCAGTACATCTCAAGAATGAAATCAGGACAGAAAGATATCTTCTACATTACAGGAACCAGCAAGGAGCAGTTGGAAAAATCTCCATTCTTGGAGAGGCTTAAGAAGAAAAATTATGAGGTATTGAAAAAAATATGCTGGAAACTTCAGATATGTACTTTGATTTATTTTATTCCACTTGATCTGTGTTCGTATTATTTTTGTCTGTTTCTAATGACCTTTTTTTTTAGGTTATTTTCTTCACAGATCCTGTTGATGAATACCTGATGCAGTACCTGATGGATTATGAAGGAAAGCAGTTCCAAAATGTATCCAAGGAAGGCCTAAAAATGGGGAAAGACTCTAAGAACAAAGAACTCAAGGAGTCATTTAAGGAACTTACCAAATGGTGGAAGGGTGCACTTGCAACCAACAATGTTGATGAGGTGAAAATTAGCAACCGTTTGGACAACACTCCTTGTGTGGTTGTCACATCTAAGTTTGGATGGAGCGCTAATATGGAGAGGATCATGCAATCTCAAACCCTATCAGATGCTAGCAAGCAAGCATACATGCGTGGCAAGAGGGTCCTTGAGATCAACCCAAGGCACCCAATTATCAAGGAGCTTCGTGAGAGAGTTGTCAAGGACCCAGAGGTACGTACATATGCAAGTGGATGCATGTTCAATGAAACCATGATCCATTATAGGGATCTAGCATGAATATGTAGGATTAATTCATCATTAAGTGGTCGTGGTTTGTGGCATAAAATGATATGATCGCACGTGAATCTGAAACTTGGATGATGTCCCTTCCTGCATGCACTTGTTAACTAGAATTTATGAATCGGTATATTACTCTTAAACTTTCATGTTTTGATGAAACCATTTACTGGATCTTCAGGATGAGGGTGTCAAGCAAACAGCTCAACTTATATACCAGACAGCTTTGATGGAGAGCGGCTTCAATCTAGCTGATCCCAAGGATTTCGCCTCACGCATCTACAGCTCAGTTAGGTCTAGCCTAGATATCAGTCCCGATGCAACAGTAGAGGAGGAAGATGATGTCGAAGAAACTGAGACAGAAGATGCAGGCAGTTCGAAGGGAGAAGCTGAAACTGCCAAAGATGATTCAAATACAGATCCTACTGATGCGAAGGATGAATTGTAGATAGCGAGGCCTTGGGATGCCAGTACTGTTGAGTTTTTCCCTTGGTAATTATGGTCAGTCAAATGAAACCTGAACAAACTGCATTATCAATCCATCATGCATTTTACGCTACTGTTGAGTACATTAGACGGTAGATTAAAACCGTAACAATAGTTTCCAGGAATTTTGCCTTTAGCATCTAGTTTGTTTTTGAGGAGCTGAAATTAATTACGCTGTATCATTTTCCTAGTAGTGCATGGCAAAACTTTACAGATTTCTCGTATTTTAACGATGATGGATGTTTCTTATCAACTCCGTTTGACTAATGTTAATTGGTACAGGCTTAGTTATGCTCCTTAAAAGGCCCAAATACATCTAGTCTTCTTCTGTCTTTTTTGGGTTTAGTTTCAGGGTTTGTTCGGTAGAGTGAAAAGAAAATGGAAGGATAAAAAAATTAAAATAGTTAAAAAATTAAAAGATGAAAAATTACTATTGTTTGATCTGTTTTGGGGTAGAAAGAATAGTGCATTTGAAATAAAATGTGATTTTTTTTCAATTTATTATTTAGTAGAATTGAAAAATAAGAAAAAAAATTAATCTTAAAAAATATGTGTTTTAAATCAATTCATTACTTTCATATTTTTTAAAACTAAAATTATTTACTTTTATATATGAAAATAATCTTTTATTTATTTCTATTTATTTTTCTCTTTGATCAAGTACATTCAAAATTTATTTTCGTTTTACTTTTATAATTAATCTTTTTATCATTTCACTTTTTCATTCAATCATGGAAATCTTTAAGCTGGTAGAAAGTTTGAAAGATGAGAGTTAAAGGGCTTGAAAATTAAAGAAATGAAAAAAAAAAAATTTTTGTGAAAAATAAAAAGAGAATATATTTTCCCCTCATTATGTAGTAGAGTTATAAACGAGAAGAACAAAAATTAGGTTTTTACTTTTCTTTTCTCATGAATAATTGTGAATATTATTTATCAAACTGTACTTAAAAGCCGAAATCATTCGGGAAAATAATTCAATTTTATATACTGTATCCATATGAACAGGAACTTTTGACGAAGAAGATTCCACATGTTCACTATATATATTTACAATTTCTGACAGAGTCGCTGGCTTTTCATCGGAGCCGTCCAAAGAATTATCAGAAGAAGCACTAGCAAAAGAGAGCTTAAAAGAGGTAGATTTGATTCGTTAGAGATTAGATTAGAAGACCATTATTTGATGGTTGGTTTATTTTAATCAGCCGCCATTGCTTTAGATTTTATCTGTAATTAAACGGTTGATTCCGATTCGTTCAATTTATGTCATTCAGCGGGTTAATGGAACCATTTTAAAATTTGTGGGGCTCCTCTTTTTAACTTGTGAAGAATATAAAGAATTACTGCAGTAGCCGATCATCATGTAATTGTTTCACTCAGTACAACATGAGCCACAATAAGCGATGGCGCCTTTCTTTGCGGCTTAATCAAATATTCCGTGTCACGAACGGCCGAGATTCTCATTGCCTTTTGGTGAACTACTCAAATGGAGGCTTTGGTTTTGGACCACTCAACTCTTTTGAACAAAGGCCTTGGAAGGTTTTTGGCAATTTCTCACCGCTCAAAACCCACTGAATATAGCATCTTCCGGCTTTACTGACTAAGTTATGGAATCTTTTACCTTTCTATCTCATCTCAAGCTTCAAAGCCAGAGAGTTTCAAGTGCCATATCTACATTCACATGGAGAAGATGCTAGACCCATCACCATTCCTATTCTACACTTCCAGTCACTTGAAATTGAGATATGGCAATTATAGTACCTCTTTCAAATATCCTTTATAAGATTATTTTTCATTCTATACAACAATTTTTTTTCTCGAAAAATCCCCTCGTAACTAAAATTTCAAAATAATATATATGGATATAAAGATATCTCCGGATATAAAAATTTTATATCTTTCGAAAATTTACAATTGTTTAACATGATATTTGGTAGACATCACAAGATTTGTTATAGTCAAAATCACTTGACAAATGATCGCATCAATCAAATTTATTAACTGACACTCGTATTAAGGATTATTATAAAATCTGTCGTCTAAGACTGAGAGAGGTACGAGAGCAACATTATTATTTTCTTTCTCTTTATCCTCATGAAAATTGAGGACATTAACATTGATCTATTGTTGTATATTTACTGATTGTGATTCTTTAATTAGAAAGTATGAATCATCAATGATTGATATAATCCATTTATTCTCATCGACCATAATAATTTAGGTTTCGTTACGTAATTTTTGGTGCATAGGATAATATGATTTAGTCGATCACTTTCTACAGAAAAGAGAACCCACGGTTTCAGCTACCTCTTCCCCTGTACCTGTCCAAAAATATACACAAGATACCAAGGTGGAACCAGTTTTTTTTAAGCCTTAAGAAATTTTCTCAATCCCCAAGTGATCAAAAAGCAAATTTGATCTTAACCGACTGCTTTAGAAAGAGTGTTGGAAAAGGCAATATGGGTTCCTTTTCTTTGTCATCATCCTCTGAGCTTTTATGACAAAGGAACCGATTTTTTCTTTTTTAAGAATAGAAAATTCAGTTTTTATAGGAGTAATTTATAAGTTTTGCACTTTTACTGAATGAGAGTGGGATGATAAATTAATCACATCATATGACAGACAAAAAGTATATGAACAAGATGCCACTGTCATAGTCACCATAATTACTAAACTACATTGCGGGTAAATAAATCATCGAACTACCAAGCTTGCAATTCCAGCAAAGTGGGGGAGCCTTCCTTTATCAACAATCCACAAAGAAGAAGAAAAAAAAACCAACCAGATTGCTCAGATTCACAGTAAAGTAACACTTTAAAGTTCTTCAAATGCCGTCGTAATCAATTAAAAATAATGATTAAAGATCTTCCCTTTTTCTAGCCTGTTGCTTTTGGTGTACAGCTCTTCCAAAACCAAGGTATGAAGAAAAACAAAATTCGTAGTAGTTTTGTGTTGTATACACATGGCCTTGCCTTGAGATTCGGGCTTTAACAATCTGATCTTCAGCAGCATGCAGCGTGCAGTGCTCCCCATAAAGCAGAAGAATCCCGAATAAAATTCCCATTTCAGATGTTAATTAATATAGCTGCTTTTCATTTGAAGATGGTTGAGATTATGAATAAAATCTGGAGAGGAAGATAAAGGAAACCGCTGAAGCCAACAATGCGGTATGGAAAACATCAGAAGAAAGAGTCCTGGGAGATTCTCCTGTAAGAAAATCTGGTAACCATGGACTATTTTTGTCAGCTGGAACCTGTCCTGATGACCCAGTACTAGATCCATATGTTGTGTTTGTCACCCCTGTTGTGTCTGTTGTTGTTGGTGGCGCACTGCTTGCAGATTTTTGACTGTAAAAATAAAATTACAGTACTGAAAAAGGTGATAGAGAATATAGACTTTGAACGTAAATGGAGCTTTTAAAAACCACAGCAATTAAATGGTTAATTAAAAAGGAGATTCTGATTCTGATACAGATGGAACAAAGTTGTTTGATCTTAATGCCTTTTCCTTTTTCAATGGGTTCTAATATATAAATCAGAAAAGGATTTCACAACAATTTTATGCATATAAAAATGACTCGTTTTGCATATTATCTGCTAAACAATTGACAGCAAGATCCTTAATGTATGCCACAAGCTAAAGGCACTGACTAATGACTCCATGACCTGTTAGCTTGTGCCTTACAAAAGGGCTTTGAGAAAATAGTACGAAAACAAATTAAAAAAAATAACACTTTCAGATTCAACGAGCCGAGTACAATACTACTAAAATAGTTGATAATGATTATTTTTGTAAACAAAAACAATTTAACCAATGGAATTGGGGAAAAAAGGTAAATAAAAAGAAATAATGGAATATTGTTATGTCGTCAGTGCTTACCTTGTTGATGAAGGGCAGAATGTAATCGTATAGTCGGCTCCGGTACATGTAAACGTACTGGTTGCATCATCGTACGCGTAGCTATACGATTTGGGGCAAGCCGCTTTGAACATCCCCGCATAAACGGACGGTTTACAGGTATCGGGAGTGGCGTACGTGCCGCTGCAGCAATACTCGGGAGTCCCGAAAGCCTCGCATGCACTCTTACAGGCCTCGCCGGAACTAGCCCTTAACTCGGACGGGCACTGCCGGTTCAAGTCGTTGACGCACCCCGTTGATAAGCACGTGCCTGACCCTCCGCTTGCCTCCACGATCATTGGCAAGTTGTAACCGTCAACTAAGCTAACGTCATAGAAATCCTGGGTACCTGACCCGATCGTGAATTCCGCTAAGGTAGCCGGGGGAGTTGCACCTCTGCCATTGCATTCGACTTGGCTTGAGCCACAGTCAGCGGTTTGGCAGGTGAGTTGACCTGTGTTTTGGTCCGATGTACATCCGGATCTTCCCCAGAACCTACCTGACCAACCGGGTTGTGCCTGGAATGATCGGGACCCTCTGGCCGGCAGCTCGAATCCAGTGCTACCTAAGTCGGAGTTGCCAAGAATACCAGGCCAAACTGTGTGGTCACATTTATTCACTAATGTAAATGTAGTCCCTGAAACCCCTGTGTATACATGTATAAATGCAAACTGTGTTAATGTCAATGGTAAATTGTTAATGCTATGGACATTCAATGTTGAAGATCTTACCTTGGAAGAAAGAGATGAGGCAAAACAAACAAGCGGCGGAGATCAGATCCATCTGTACTGAAATTTTTGGGGTTTGAGCAAATACTTGGATTTTACTAATGCTTGTCTCAGGAAGAAAAGGCTGCATTTCCAGTGTGATGATAATCAATTGAAGGGAAAAAGAAAGGGGTTGTTTCAATGGTGTTGGTTGCGGATCACCAATTGAGTAAGTTTGATGTCTCTTCCTTCACGAGAGGAGACTTTGATGATGGGGAAGAAATTTTATGTCATATATTACATTTATAGTAGTGTGGAAAGTGGAGTAAACTCTACTGTTGTATAAGGACAGACTCACATAAGAAAGACCACGTAAATTCTCAAGAGTTGCCAAAAAATTGCAAGAACCGTAAACATATATATAGTTTGGTAATTTAAAACAATAAAAATTATTTAGTGCTATGATTTTAGCCCTTCTAAGTGACGAATATTTTTGAAAAAAATAACAAAGCGTTGAATAAAGTAATGGCTTTATTGGCGCTACTGAATTTGGCAACCATTTCAAGTATCAAGGATTTTTCTTCAAATCATTGGAGCTTAGAAAATAAAATGGAGATGGAATTTATTTTAGAAAATTTTAAATTAATTATTTTTCTTCCCAAAGCTTAGAATATATATTATTCATTTTTAATTATGAAGTAGGGCTAATTGAGCATCTTATTTGAGCCAAAATTGATGACTGGATTTGGAGCCAATGTTGGGGTGATACGAGATTTCCTCTTGAATAAGATGTACTTCCAGAATTATGAAGTAGGGCTAATTGAGCATCTTATTTGGTTAAACTTGTGATCCAACCTAACAAACCCACGTGCTTGAAGAAATACATGTGGCCTGGCATTTCAACTTCCAAGGTTTAATTATAGTGGATGTTGCTATCACTCTTGGCTAAAGACTCGCAAACAGTAAAAAAATTTCACGGGAATCAGATTCCTGGCAATCAGGACTTTCCCTACGTTCTTTACCCATCGTTTCACTATGATATTATAAGTCTGCAACCCATTTTGATACTGTATAGACTGACACCGTTGCTGTGGCCGTCAACAACAAACTCATCCACGGGATCCACTTTCCTCGCTAATTATAGGCTAACACGTGAATTAATTAAGATAGTCCTTAGTTTAATTTCTCTTCGGACCATGGAGTTTGGATCATGAGAAAGTTGTCCACTTATATGTATGGAGTTTATATCAGGGCTGATACCCGGATCGAAGATACATGGAGCCTAGGTATTGAGGCCATTAAAAGGCTAAATACACCGAAGAAAAGCAAAAACCCGACTTTTCTTTTTCAGTTAGCAATTACACTCAAAGATTTTGCTGATGCTGATGCTAATGCTAATGCTAATCCACGTCAATGTACACGCGTTGCCCTGAAAGGCATTTGCCTATGGGACCTTAAAATCATCGTTTTCTTTCATTCCCACCCGCACCCTCATTCATCATCGCCTTGATTCATTTCAGCGCCTGCAACGGCCACCAAAGTGGGGCTGGATCATTAGAGCGCATAGAGTTTTTAATCATTAGCCATTACTGTCTGAGGATTGCCGACCGGTCTAATCGTCCAGACTCTGGTTCTTTATTTGAGAGCGTGGATCCATTGTGTATTCAGTTGTTATCGGCAAAGCAACTCAGATGTAGTTTACAAATTTCTACAACAAATAAATCATTGCTTCATTCATAAACAAATAAATCCTGATGATGTCTCGGGTAAGATATGAAAACTTTGGAAGATTTTTCATTTAAGAAAACAAGAGAAAGCTTTGGAAAATGCAGGGCATGTCTCAAAGCACATGCCAATGTTTTGTGAAAGTGAAAACGCCTACGTTGCATGTGGAAAAGTTGATAACTTTTTCATCCGTAATATACATATAATGTACCGAAATCTTTTTGCGCCAATATGGCTACTCAATGCTATATTTAAAATGTTAATCGTATATGATCAATATAATATTTCCAAAAAAGAGTAGACAACAAGAAATATATTTAAGATCAGTGTATATGATTTCCGGTCACAATAGTAAATAACTTTTCCTTGCAAACTTATTAAGAGGATTAACCATTAAGAAATCAGAACACTGCCACCTGTCTTTTTTAATTCTAAAATCCAGTTTTGAAGGAAAAGCTGAATTTCCCGCATCATTGCTCGATGATTATCGACTGAGAGCAATGCAACGTCAGAATAAGTACATCTTCAGTTAAAGTGATAAAAGATTTCCAACGTTCGCTGCTCATGGAAGAATCTTTTTCCCTTTTGGTGGCTGATAATATAGCTATATTTTACCTAAACAAGCGGTTGGGCATTCACCGCTAACACTTTAACTGCTTTGGCATTTCCATTTATATTTATCATGGAATGGATAGATTGTTATCCACTTTGCCATAAACGTAATGACATGTATAAGTGGGATGTTTACGTTGCATGTTCAAACATTTCTGCAGCTAACCTAATTTCCATGTGCTCATAACCAGAGGAAAAGTAAGAAATATCCAGCATTAAGCTTTGTCATCAACAAGACATTATTATGACATATTAAAGGCCAAAGATAAGGCAAACGTGCTAGAATTCAAGGGGAGTGATCAGCTTGTCACAGCCAGACAGCAAAAGAAATAATATAAAGATTCAACGAGATCTGTGACTGTGAATGTCCTTTTGACATGTTATCCATCGTGTAAAGTACCATTTTGGATAATTGTCATTGATATTCACTTAATTTTATTTTTCTCTTCACTTCCTTTTTCCTCTCAGTCTCACTTTTTCAACTACTTTACAGAAAGATTTGCGCCATTTCGACATAAACCTATATGATTTCGAAGACTCTCCAAAACCAGTGCTAGCTTTTGCTTTTCTCCTTTTGTTTCTCTACTTTACATTATCTGCTAGAAGAGTCATTATCATTCGTACCAAATCCCTCATAAAAGCTCAAAAAAATACCTTGGTGGCACAAGTGGTCGATTACAATTAGGGTAAACACGGCCGTGCCGGCCATGTTGATGATATCACGTTCCAAGACGGGACCAAAGAAACACAACTTTCTCAGGGCAGAATCATCAAGGGAGACCCGCAATATCCGAATTGTTTAGAAACTTCACCGATTCATGGGGGACCTATAGAAAATAGTTTTTGCCGGCAAAACTTTCGAGATAATGTTCTGAAAGAAATTAATTCACGAGCTAATGCACTCCCAAGATTAATTGCTCAAATAGGGTGAAATTGTTGGCCGTAGGTCGCCATGCCTTCCGGGCGACCTTGTAGGTCGCCATGCACTCCGGGCGACCTACCCTTGCTCAAACAGAGAGAATGAACGTGCTGCATGGCACATGCAAGTCCCAACACATAGGTCGCCATGCCCTCCGGGCGACCTACCCTCGCTCGGTTGCCCTCAGATTCCCTCGCATAGCTTTCTCGGTTGCCCTCGGATGCCCTCGCATAGCTCGTTCGGATGGCCTCGGTCGGATGGCCTCGGATGCTCTCGGATGGCCTCGGATGCTTTCGGATGGCCTCGGTCGGATGGCCTCGGATGCCCAGCGTGTTGGGACGTGCATGGCACATGCAATCTCTTGTAGCTCGTCGGGAAGACATGGCGACCTAGTAGGTCGCCCGGAAGGCATGGCGACCTACGGCCAACACTGTGGATTTCACCTTATTTGAGCAATTAATCTTGGGAGTGCTTTATCTCGTGAATTAATTTTTTCCAGAACATTATTTCGAAAGTTTTACCCTTTTTGCCTTCATAAAAGATTCTCCTTTAGGGAATGCACGAGTATTATTAGTTGAAGAGATGTGGGAAAGATGTCAAAAGGAAGGTCAAGGACGTGGATGCAAATATGACAAGAGATTAAAAATAGGAAAAAAGTGTAAGAAAGTTCAAAACTTTGTCCCCCTAAATATCTTCCATGTTACCAACAAAAGTCACTGCAATTCTCAAACCTATTGCTTTAATATTTACTGAAAACGAAAGAGATCTAATTTAAGATCTCTAAAGCTACTGATCATATGTGTTTTAGTTGTGGAAAAACTCGCTTGCACTAAGAAATGAAAAGGGAAGGCTTGCTCACTAACCTCAACTTAGATTGTCTTTCTTCAGTATAAGAAGCTGACTAGGTGCTTAGACAGATTGTGCTAAAAAAGTAATGAGAAAATTTCCTCCATATCCAAGATTTTAGTAAAATACGTAAATACTATAACTTTATTAAGACTCGTCTTTTTTATCAAATAGTGACTACTTAATTTTAAACAGAAGCAAAAAAAAATATTGGCTCCTCCAAGGATCAACTTGAAAATTTTCTAATTTGCTGTTAGAAAAGAAACATATAAAAAACGTAAATTATTGCATAATGGGCACAAATGATTGAGTCATTAGTCGAAATGAGTTGTTATTATATTCTAATAAGTTATACAATACTGCAAAGTCCACGATAAAGTGGTTGTTCTAATAAATTATTGATGGATGGAAATGGAAGTCATGCACTCATGCTTAATAGTTCTCTCCCAAGTTTTAATGTAACAAGAAATGGGAAAATTGAATTTGATAAAATGCACTACTTAAGGCCCATTACGTTGAGGCCCAAAATCACATTATATTGTGTCTATTTTTGAAGTCCAAAAGCAACTGTGAAGTCTGCTACAGTGCTACTTATGAACCAATAAACTTATTCAGTATATTAAATTAATTTTTTTAAATTAATATTATTCAAGTGATTAATAATAATCGTGAATGTATAATCTCAATTATCCATAATCTGTTGACTGACCTTAATTTGGTCACATTGAAATGTCGCTGTGAACTTCGTTTTGGCTCGTGAGTTTCTAGCAAAGCTACAAACGGTATGCTCCTTGCTTAATTATTGGAGATTCCCGGCCCTCTTGGCCATGGGTTGTTTCACGCGTAGGGCTATACGCTCTCCGGCTAATTAGCAGACTAAGACGTTTCATCTGTCCGCTTATAATTAATTTGTGATAAATGTCACGTGTCATGATCTTTGGGTCTGGGACATTGATGCAAGTGTCTGCTAAAATGATTTTATGCAGAATATGGGCTTGCCAAGGCCACCAGACTTGGCCTATCACTTGGAGAATGTTGTGGAACTCGTTCACATTGGCATTGCAAAAAAGGAAAGTGACATCAAATCCAAAAAATGATCACACGAGCTCGGTAAATATTGCAAGAGATAACAAATCAAGAAGATATCGTG